AGTTGATGGGTTGGCAGTACGATGCTGGAAGGTTCCGAAACGTTCATTGTTGATGAAGATCTGAAATACTTTGCTTTTACTCAACATACATAATACCCTGTCTACCTGGATTAAGAACAACTCGTATGAGTGTTTTCTGGTTAGCAGACCCATCTAAGTGAAAGTGGGAGTGGAGCTTGTGAGTAAGCTTGTTGTGAGTACGCTATTCTTGGAGAACAACTCATGGATATTTCATAAAATGGGAGTTGACCTTGTGCTTTGCTGTTCTTTTGTTTTTTTTAATCTTTGACATATATGAAACGAGAGGTGAAGTCTTTAATAAACTTCCGTGGCAGATCTCTTACTTGATCTTACCGACAAGACCATATCGTATAAGGTCTCGAGCATACGCTCAATCTCCGTCAGAGCAATTTGTTCATCTTCATTGGCTGGAGGTCCTTAAAATGAAATAAATGTAATTGAACATAATGTCTTTGAAAATTACCCTGGTGACACACGTCAGCCAGAACTGATCCTGCATGTACTTGTTTTTGTAAGCGTCGCAGTATTTTGGTGATGGAACAGCTCTAAACAGAAGAACAAAAATTTTGAACTACAGAAAAAAAGAAATTACCTCATCAACCTCTGGCGTTCGAAGAGAAACATTAAGGCGTCCTCGCACTAAACACGAATCTGATTTTGAAACTTGCAGAGCTTTTGCTTACCAGCTTCGTTTCGTAGCAGGTCATCAATACGATCGATTCCACCTAATAAGGTTCCATCAATTACTCCTCGTGTCTCTCTATCCATATCAGGTAACCTAAAGTAATAGTAAAACTAAAAATAATTTAAAATTATATCTCACTTTTCTAATATTTTGCTTTTCGCAACCTCATACGTCCTCAAGATTACTTTTGCCTCTTGCTAAAAGAAACTTTTAAATTCAAAATATAAAGACATATATACAGAAAATAGATAATTGAACTCACAGATACGTATTTACGTATATTTAGATATTTTTAGTTTTAAATTTTATTTTTTTCCCAAAAGTGTCCATGTCCATCTCGGCAAGCCTAAAATATTAATAATAACTAAAACTATAAAATGTTATATCTCACTTCTGCACTGAGGAGGTAAGGGGAAAAAAATAAAATTTAAAACGAAAAATTGAAAATGACAGAATTTAAAATAAATGTCAAACATTTGTAGAAATATTAAAATATATTAACCTATTTAGTCCGCGGACAGGAACAGCCAGCTCAGCTAATGCCAGTCGTCGAGGTATTTTCTTAATTTCTGAAAAAAGTGAATTTATTATTATAGCGCTCTTCTTACACCGCCCTTTTTCATCGGCTCAGAGGTCATGTTGAGGCTATTGCAGCTATGGCCGATGCTTGCCATAGAGGGGTGTATGTATGTGTGAAGTGTGACTCCTTTCCCCTTAATCCGAATCAGTTGCAGATCCCTCAAGCGATGCCGCTGTACAAACCGCGCGTTTCAACAAGTCAGCGCCCTCGTCATTTCTTCAATAATGAGAAGCTCCTCAGCGCTCGCAGCAGGTCCTGTGAATTTTTTAAGGTTTTTTTTTGAAATTTTTTTTTGTCAATAAATCTATAATAATAAATTCATTATTTTCATTCTAGATTAGCAGATATGGATTTGGATACCCTCGAAGTTGTCCATAGCTCCGTATTTGAGAAAATTTTGCAGATTGATGATCTGCTCATAAATAGATCGGGTAAGCAGAAACTCTGATAATTTTTTCATTCGTAGATATAATGAACGTCACATTTTAGTCCGCACTCATGAGAACGTTTTTCATAGAACCGCGGAAGTACATGACGTATTTTTTTTCTGAAATTTCAAATGAGTATTTTTCTCGGTTTAGCGATCCTCTTTCAACGCGCAGCTGCTTCGCTTGCGACTGCAGGCACGTGCAGCCTCCATGCTTGCGGAGTTCTGCCACGAGGGTGCGTTATAAAAACATTAAGTTTAATTACATTTAATTTCTTTAAAGGACCTCCAGCCAATGCAGCTGAACAGAACGTGCTCGGCCAAGTTCTGCTCATACTGGACGCTCTACGATCGGCAATATCGCCTTTAGGATCATTGGAAGGATCTGCCACCGAATCGAAACGAAGCTGGTAAGCGAAAGCTCTAAAAATTATAAAAAATTATTCGTGTTTAGTCCCCGGACATCTGAACGTTGCTCATCGGACGCCTGACGTTGACGAGGTAATTTCTTTAATTCTGTAATCTGATTCTTCGGTTAAGAGCTGCTCCATGAACATGATTTTGTTTCGTTTGAAGAAGCAAGTTCATGCAGCCTCAATTCTGGCGGACGTGTGTCACCAGGGTACTTTTCAAAGAAATTATGTTCAATTACATTTATTTCATTTTTAGGACCTCCAGCCAATGAAAATGAACAAATTGCTCTGACGGAGATTGAGCGTATGCTCCACTCAATACAGGAGGTGATATCTCCCGTCTCATCGCTGGCAGGATCAGGGACGGAATCGGACTCAGAAGCCGTAAGTTTGAAGTTGTTTGAATTGAAGTAATTGTACTGGAATTAAGATGATGTAAAACTTCTTCTTCGATCCTAAGAAAGTACAAGAAGAAGTTACCGTATACAATTTTAGGATTGTTATCTTTTTATCATGATCGATTTTTCTGTTAACGAATCTTGTTCTTGTTTCTTGTGATTAGTTTTTGATTAGTTTTTTTGTTTTTATTGTAATTTTTGTTGTTAGTTTGGATAAAAGACTTTTTATCCTAATACTCTGTTCGTGTGCTATTCCAAATAGAATACAGTTCCGGCGGACGTTGAGCCGCGAATAACCGGTATGTCTTTTGTTTTTATGTTTCATCTTGACCGTGATTGTAATGTTTGAAGGTGTATTTGATGATGAAGGTCAAATTACCGATTCTGTATCCGCAGCAGTTACTCCGATCTATTCAGACGCAGAGGACGAAGATCCTCATGTATTACCTTTACAGCGAGCAGGCGATCCCATTCTAACAGCTTCAAAGGTGATTTAGACATTTAAAAGTTAACTTTTGTTTTTTTCAAAGACCGAAACCTTCATCTCTTCCACATTCTGAATACATGAATCTGGATTATGAACATGTTGCTCTCTATGGTGTACGTAATCTTGTATGTTAATCATATTTTGTTTTTAATTTACAGATTTCCATGTAGCAGATACCGGTTGCACTGTTCGTATGGACAACGACAACCGTAATAGATCTCTGCCCGGTTTGCGATATTTTCAAATTTGATCATTCTTCATTCATTAGGAAGTTCTCAACTAAGTAATGGCTGTGCTATAAAGGAAAAGTACGGAGGTATTCAGAGGATGCCATTGTCTGCCCTTCGAATGGTTCAAGTATGTATAAATATAAAATATGATTTGAAACAAAATGTATTTTCAGAACCTCATTTACCAGGGAAGAGCCCTCTATTACAAAGTGAACAATGCTGTTGATAAATGCCTAAAAGTAATTTTTTCCATGTAACAACGCTTTCATGTTTTCTTCATTAGGCTGCTATACACATATGCCAAGATGATCGTAATGTAATTGAAGGAAAGCTCGATGACTTCATCATGAATTGTTTGCCAGAGATTGTCATTAGGCACAGTAGCGCTAATGAAGTAAGAATTATTATAAAATTAATTCATCAAACTTCTTCTACAGGAATTGAGATTTGACAGTGATTTGAAGGAGAATCGAATATCTGTCTCGATCTATCTATAACACTCATAGTCCTCAAGTATGGCAAAGTTTTCTTTTTCAAGATTTAATTTCGATCGTTAAGCTTACTCCGGCCGGTACATCGGTTGTTTGCTGGAGTATGTGTGTAATTCGAATTTAAATTTTTAAAAACTGTGAGAAAAGAAATTTATTTTAAAGAGAAAAGAACAATATACAATAGCATATTACAGTTCATAGGGTTAACATGTTAGTGGTGGCTGAACTCAATTCCAGTTACTTCCACTTCACCGTCAAGTCTGAGACCAACGTAATCAGTTGATGGGTTGGCAGTACGATGCTGGAAGGTTCCGAAACGTT